CTGAGCACCAGATTCCCAGACACTTGAGCTCCGCTTTTATAGCTCGTTTCCAGCTCTCTCCCCGATAAGGAAGCGACTTCGCTTATATTCACTGTGGTTGGAACAGCTGGACGGCGGCCGTGTGTAAACGGCGGCTCTCAAACTCCACGTCCTCCTCGTGCTGAGCTTCTATTTTGAGCTGAACTCTAATCAGCATGTAAACAAAGCTCCTCTTTATGTTTTCTTGTCCAAAAAGGGTCACGCTGATGCAGAATTAATCCTATGATGAGACTGGGACGGCAGGCTGTCACACACACACACAAACACACACACACACACACACACACACACCTTTGTGGGGGCTCTCCATTCATTTCTACGAGTAACCCCATAATCCCAAGAACTTTAACCCCTACACAGCCGTAACCTTAACCATGAGTAACCAAACAAAATGCGAGACTTGGCATTTTTAGTTTTTTGATTGCATTCACAGATCTTTGTGGGAACCTGAAAAATGGTCCCCATCACGTTAAAATGACATGTTTTTTAATTACGTTGTGAGGGACATTTGGTCCACGCACAGACACACCGTACCTTCTCAGCTGCCACTCCACCCGAGCTGCTCGTCACTGACCTGTGGGGGGGAGGGGTCTGAGGAACAAACAAATGGCCAAACGCCACCGTGCCCCCAAGCATGCAGAACCATAGAGTCCCCCACCACTCCTCATTCCCATTCAGGGCCACTGGGTCCCAGCTTCTCACTGGGATGGGACTGGGCTGCACACACTGCACCCACGAAATGGACCAACACTGACAGGTGAGATGCTGACTGACATATCAAAGAAAGCCAAAAGCCTTTGAAAAGAACAACACAGCAAGGCAGCTCTTACGGGCCCCCGGAGTCTCCCGCAGCCGGGGACTGTAATGTTTACCGCGTTAAAATTAACGGGATGAGTTTAGCGCATGGCCCAGTCCCGGGGGTGTTTGTCAAACAGAGGAGCTGGATCATCCCCCCGCCAGGCTCCTCCAAGTTTCATTTTGGCGTGTTTCACACCGAAGTTCAGTCTTGAACACGTAAGAGCTTCTCCCGGGGATGACGGAGGCCACGTGCTCACACCTGCTTTGACAGCAATGAAAGCGGCTTCTCCGTTAGCCAGCCTGTCAGGCCGTGGGCACGGGGCCGTGCCTGAAGTGGTTTATTAGACCCCATCACTGCCCGGTTCTGGCACACGGTGAGAGGATGGCAGTCACTGCGGCTCGCTGGTGCCTGGTGACACTGGAGTCTCCCTGTGATCCACGTGTGCCTCTGTGATACGCGTCTCCCTGTGAGGTCTATCTGTGAGGCTCACATGCGGGTGTGATGGAAAATCAAAGTGTCTGCGATAGGCGGACTGATTGAAAAGTGACATGATGCAGCTCAAAAAAAATCTATTATTAGTATTATCTATACTGCGGTATAGTGTCTGGATGGTAGGATGGTATGTTTGACTATCATTTTTTTTTTTATTGTATTGTCGAGCACATGCCTGTCATATGCCGCAATATGTTTACATTGGAAGTTGGTGCTGGGAATGAGGTCACACCCGAGTTAACTGCGTTCCAGTACAAAGATTCGGAAAACCATTTAGCAATACCAGTTCAAGCCAGGTTTCTCATTTCCATGTATAGCATTGCCAGTCAATGCATTTTGTGTCATTTTGCACATAGAAACTCAGCAGCACCTTGTCCACAGATGCAGGTTGAGCAGCACTGTGCGCATGACCGATTTCACGAGGCACGGAGAAGACATAAGTGCTAAAAAGTACAACTACAGCTTTTACTTCTGTCCATGAAGGACGCCGCCATCTTGAATTCTGAGGTCGCGGCTGTAGAGGTCCCTCCCACTTTCCGAGTCGGTGTTCCAGTTGAAATTTCCGACTAGGAACTTGGAAATTCCAGCTTACCAGTTCAAATGGAAAGCAGCGATATCGTCTGAGAGGGTGAGATGCACACCCCTATGTTCACACTCTAGCATGATACAAACGCCAACAATCCAAATGCAGTGCAGTTTGCCTGAAATATCTAAGGCTTCCGTGGCAGGAAACATGCGATAAGGTAAAGGGTCATCGCCAAGATAACATGTTCCGTTTAAGCTGACCTGCATTGCTGCATCTTCTGCGCTTTTCCATTCCTCCGAATTCAGAGGCCCTTGGAAGTTAGCAGGAAATGCTAAGAAACGCAGCAGCCAAACATCACATGATGCTACACTTCCGACTTAAATCACACATAAGAAATTTACAAACGAGAGGAGGCCATTCGACCCATCAAGCTCGTTGGGGGAGAACTTAACTAATAGCTCAGAGTTGTTAAAATCTTATCTAGCTCTGATTTAAAGGAACCCAGGATTTTAGCTTCCGCTACACTAGCAGGAAGACTATTCCATACTCTAACTACACGCTGTGTAAAGTAGTGCTTTCTCAAAATTGTTTTAAAATGTTCTCCCGCTAATTTCCACTTATGGCCACGAGTTCTAGTATTTAGACTAATATTGAAATAGTCATTTGGCTGAACAGCATCCAGACCCGTTAGAATCTTACGGCCTCCCCGGCCGACGTGGAGGAAGCCACAGCTGTGGTGGGGGTGCCCCGTTTCCACCGGCTGCGTTTTGCCATGGCGTGAAACTAAACAGTGCACCTCATATCCCATGATACACCTGCCCCATGGCATTTATGAGACTGCGGACAGGCGATCTGATTCGCTCTGGGTCTGGGTGACTCCTGAAGCACTGTGTGAGGTCACCGTCCAGACGACGGCCCCAAAAGAGCAGATGGAAGCTCAGAGCTCGACACAGCCAGCGGCCCAATATCAAGGGCTCCCCTACGCCCTTGGGTACAGCCGACCCGCACACTGAGAAGATCTGTGCTCCGGAAAGTCGTCAGGAGAATTGGCGTGCCAAGTACAGAGAGACGGAAGGAGCTCTATAAACAGGAGTCCATTTACTTCGGGGGGGGGGGGGGCAGAGGTGATTCTGACCTGATACACCACCTCAGAGACTCCCCCCAGCCTGCAGAAACCTGCCGACTCACCCTCCCACGGACGACGACGTCACCCAGGGAACTGGCGTGGCAGCAGACTGTGCACGACTGTGTTAATGGGGGTGTCTGGCCCTGTGTGACCTGGGGGGGGGGTTGCTGGACAGGCCCCTCGGAGCACAGCTAAACACCAGTAAAAGTCCCCGCAACGCACTCCGGGAGAGGAGTGGCTAAGGTGGAGTTAAGGGACACAACCCAATACTGGGCCGTGATTGGCTAGCAGGCTCACCCGGAGGCCGTGATTGGCTAGCAGGCTCAACAGGAGGACACGGGAGTCTCACTCACCAAAAGCACTCCTCCACAGGATGGGGGGATGAGGGAAACCGGCGTTTAACAATGAGGATTCGACCTCCCTGCTGGCCCTGATCTACACCCGGAGGCCCCCCCGCCCCTGATATACCTCCGACAAACACCCTGCCAGCAGGAAAGGAATCCCATCCTGCCTGCCCTCATCTCACTGTCCCCCCCCCCCTCATTCTCTCGAAAACCGCAGAATAAAAGCACAGGAGAATCGGGGTCACCGGCAAGCTCAGATTACCATGGTGAGCCAATGGAGGTACTTCTGCAGAATGGACCTTCACCCTCAGACAGGCCGGGCTGCAGACACGTCCTCCACGCGCCAGGTCAGGAAGTGACAACACGTACGGGGAGGGCGGGGGGGTAAATCGCTGTCACCTGTTCTGGCTTGTTCCACAAACTGCAGGAACACAGCTCCAGGTGCACCAGCCACCAATGTAGCGGCAGGGAGTGGGACTGTCCCTCGTCGAGCACGATTAGCAGCCTGCGGACAGCCCAGTCTCACCTTAAAGCGTTAAAATCCCCTTGTCTTTACAGCAACGATAAGCCTCATTTAACCACTGGGTGTCTGGTGAAGGGAAAGTGAGACAGGAAATCACAGCTTAAGAGAACACGTTTCTGTCCCGGGGTGTGTAGCCTGCGCTCCACAGTAAACAACGCGCGGCTGGTGCTTTTTCTCTCATTTAAAAGGTTTTTTTTTTTGTTTTTCTTTTGAGGTGAAATACAAACCAGCAAATGACCTCTAAGCTTCAGTGACGGTTCAGCCTTCTGACAGCAGCATGCCCCAGAGAGAACGACACACACACACACACACACACACACACACACACACACACACGACCGTGTGGTTACCTAACCAACTAACCTACTAACTGCAAACGGGAGCAAAGCAGCCAGCTTAGGGACCTATCGTGAATCAGCAGCAGCATAATCAGATACTGGATCACAGTGGTTTACAAAAGACTGTCCAGGACCACTGTGACACACTGCATGGCAGCGTGACACACTGTATGTGTATCGTACAGTAATTTATGGGATTAGATCACGTCAAGGCGCATTAAGTCATGCAATATAACCAGGCATATATATACCCTGCTAGTGTGTAGCATATCCACTATAAGTCCTAAACCGAAATCAAGACTTCTATTTTAAAAATATATTTAAAAACAACTCAGATGAAATGTATTGGTTTTATAAATTAAAAAGAAAAAAAAAAGTGAATTGTGCAGTATATAAATGATCAAAGGCACGAGATGTTGTAAAAAGGGTGTAACACATACACGGCGATCATTAACAGAATAAAAGTGACCGTGGTTAATAACCGTGACTATACGTCCTGGGGGGGCGGTTATCGGTGATCAGGACGGCCACCCCCCCCCCGAAACGCGATACGATCCGACCCGACCCGAACCCGGAGCAGAGCAAAGCCGCAGGCAGACACACACACGCGACTGCGCCTCGGACCCCCTTTCACACTCCCCTCCCCAGGCCGAAAGAGCTGCGATATAGCTGCCTAAGGCACTTAGACCCCCTCCTCCTTACGCCATATATCAACAATAGTCAACAATAGTCCGAAAGGCAGATGAGATTCGCAGCAGTAACTTCCAGAGCCGATCGGAAACGGGAACCGGAGCCGAGCGGAGAGGCGCCCACCTCTTGCGTCGCCGTCCTCCGGCAGGCTCTTGGTCACCGCTTTCCACACGTTGCAGCCCAGGAGGCAGAGCACGATCGCCGCGGACCTGTTCATGTCCTCCCTGCGTATGATTCGGCCAGCCTCCGAACAGTTTGCGTGCCTACCGCGGAGCCTCCACCATCACCCCGATGCCATCCGCATTGTCCCGCTCTGCTCCCAGATCGATCCCCGCTACAGATCCCGCTTCCAGCGCCGCACTCACGGCTCTTTCTGCTGCATCCCTTGTCCCCAGCCTTGCCGCTCAGTTTTTTTTAATCCAAAAAAAGAGCGGAGAGGAATAGCTCAGGCAATATTAACTGTTCCGCTGCCAGAGATCCCTTTCAACGAAGCTGCGCTCTTGTAGGGAATGCCGATGCGAGTACGCCACCTAGTGGCCGACCGTAGACCCACACTCGCCTTTGCTGGAGACTGAAGGGCGTCTGTTCATGAAGCTTTGGTAATCAGATTGCTGTTATTCGTGAGCCAGATAAGCACGATCAGGGCGCTTAACGTGTACGCAGAGTAGGGTGACCACCTATTCTATATCAAGGGTAACAGGATTTGTAAAGTACCATTTCAGTTAAAAAGGACCCGGATTTCACTTTAGCACTGAGTTCTTGCTGTGTGCTGATTGGTCAGTCTCCTATAATCATGCACGTGTCACTAATGTTAATGTGAAACAGCTGGATGAGTTTCAATCAAGGAAAAGAAACTAGAAAAAGTACAAGAAGAACTGAATCGGTTAGCTGAGCACAGGAGCCTTTCAGTTTAAAAGCAGTTTGTAAAACCTGAAATAGCTGAGTGTCCCCCTGAAATGCATCAGACGCCCCCTGTCCAGAGCGGTGTCCTATAACGGCTTCCGGTCACCCGGAGGTGTGTGGGTTTTATTTTGTGCCAAAAACGCCTCCGATACAAATTACCCTAACTGGCAATCCTGAAATAGGTATGTCTGATAATACCTATTGCGGGTTATAGAGCATGTACATAGTTGTAGATGCAGAAAATAACACTGCAATAAATAGAAAGTTGTGTCCTCAGTGTGTGTATCGTGTGCAGAATATAGGCCCTGAGTAAGAATTTATATACGATTAATGATCCACTGCAAACTTTGCGGACTTAAGTGTGGGTCATGTTAAGGACGCAACGCCAAAATTACAGTCAAGTGATGCACTAGGCGGCCCAGGTAGCCTGCAGGGGGCGCGCGGGGGAAGTCCACGCCTGCTCCGCTTTGGCCACAAACACCAAGCATCTGATCTGTTGCTCCTCTTCTTTTGGGAAAGACGGTTTGACCATTTCCGGTAGAATCATGAATAGACCCCTGTATTCTGAGCCTGGGCTGCTTTCCTGAGCCGTTCCATGATTTATAACCACGCATTTGCAGTAAGAGCAAACTCACGTGGGCACTGTACAGTCAGTCACACACAGCTCACCTTTGACTGAAGTTTCAGCTGTTAGGTAGGCTGATGGTCAAGCTAGGTGTTTTGCAGTGTGGTTAAAATACCTCCTTATAACACTTTAGCTGTCCTTTAGAAAACTAAAGGTGCAAAGACCTTTTAATCTCTTTCATGCATATTTTTGTTGTGTTGGGTGGAGTAAGGAATCATGTATCCCCTTCAAGTGGTGTAAAGTCTCCATAATGGCAAGTAAACAAATGTCTGTGATGTGATACCTTTTTTACGGTTCTGTAATCTGAATCATGTCAAAGCCTGTTATGTTTGTTATCATGAGGAGCTGCTTTCGTCTGAAGCAGTACGTAAGTGGTAACGACCGTGCAGGGTCAGGAGGGATCTCTGCTGCAGCTGGGGTTGTGGGATTTGAACCAGTAACCTTCTGATTATAAGCCATGGAGTATTAACCCACCGTATAACAATATAATTTCTCAGTTTCAACATTTGATATGTTGTTTTTGTGTTCTATTTTGAATTGAATATGGCTTTGTATGGTTGGCAAATCATTGCATTCTTTTTTATTTACATTTTACACGGCGTGCTGACTTGTTGGAGAGACGGTTCTGTTACGTGCCTTTCTACTTCTGGGTGTGTACTGTTAGCAGCTCAGGGAAAGAGGCTGTTCTCGTGCCTCATAGTCCTGATTTTTAATGACTGATTCGTCCCAGAAGAGGGAGACGGAAATATCGAGTGGCTCCGGGTGAGTGGGGTGGCCAGCGATCGTACTTGCTTGTTTTTTCAGTATGCAGGGGGCCCTGGGGGGATGACAGGGCACAGGCGACTTGTTTGTTATCTGTTGTGCTTTCTTGATGATGTGGTCAGTTTTTTGTTCTCCCATTTAAAGTCTTAGAAGATTATCGTTCCCAAGAATCTGATGGACTTAAATGTACTAACTGTTGAACTGTGTATAATTGGGTGTGTGGGCAGGCTTCTCATAAAGTTTACAGTTACCTTTACAGTATCTCCATTATGGAGTTTAACGGTTGGGTCACTGGAGGTGCAATCACTGGGACAGAGACAGCAGAGAAGAGGACTGATCACACAGTCATGTGGGACTCCAGTGCTTCATATATCATCTCCATGTTTAATTAAAGGCATGTGCTAAACTTATAATTAACTACCAGTCTTATCTTGACCATGCAGATTTTGTTACAATGTCCGCAGGGAAAGCTCTGGAACTTTCCAAATGAACGTTTTCCGCTCTGCATTTTTTTTTAAATATATCTTTTAATATAAATGCGGTAACGCTGACCTCTTGTGGTTAAACGTGCTATAGCAGCTACTCTGAAGTCAATTTCCCCCCGCAATGTCTGTACCATACCGCCGTCTACCATTTACCTCACACTAATATAAAACATCAACGTTTTACATTTCAATGTGATCGTATCAAACTTTGTAAAAATTACATTTTAAAAGGAAACTGCGGGGAATAAATCAAAGACCGCTGCAATATATCATACATTTCCTAAACATACCAAACTACAGCTATAGAATGATTTATGCAATGATGCATGATAGATCACTGCAGAGAATACTGAAACTTTGAATCGGGCCAGGAATTTTACATAAGCGCATATCCAACAATGTTTGGAAACATCAAACAGCAGACCAACGGGAAGACGGATGGCATCACCTTGGAGAAGGCTAACTTTCGCTTTTTATTCCCTTGACCGTCGTCCGTAACAACCTCCATGACCACGATCTAGCCACGTCTCTCACTCTGGACGGGATTTCCGCGGGGAAAACACGGGCAGGAAGAGCGCTGCACCGTCCAGACCCCGAATCCCGCGGGGACGCGCCTTGTCTGCGTCGGGGAGTCCGGCCACGTTTGGCGTGGAGCAGAAACTTTGAATTTAAATCAAGGAAAAAGCAAACATACTTGGATGGGCTGTAAATCAGTCGAATTTCCTGCTATATTACAAAACTAAATCTTCCTCTTCATGTACAGAAGATGGAAAAAAATAATATTGCTGAGCAGAGCAATGCAATGTTGGTTTTTTGGTGCTTAAAAGCCAAAATTACAGTTATTTAGTCATTTTGATGGGCTTTGGGGACTGGAAATAAGCAACATCTGCTGTGGTACAACACCTTTGTCTAGAGTAATGAAGTCCTGCAAAGAGCTAATCCTCTTAATAGGACCGTCTAGAGTGTCTGTGAGTGTGTGTCTGTGTGTGAGTGTGAGAATGTGTCTTTGTGTGAGTGTCTGTGTGTGAGAGTGTGTCTTTGTGTGTGTGTCTGTGTGCTCTGTCCACTTCAGAACCAGTCTTCAAGTACCCAGCTTAAGCTCTTTTTAGCAGAACTTGTCAGTAACATCTAGGCTTTATTTATATGTGGAACCTGGAAAGAGATATAGAACTGCAACCACAAGTGAGGGACTAGTGTAACCCGTCAGGCTGCTGTTTCTATTTCCAACACATCTAACGAGTGAAACTCTGCACTCATGCTGCCCCAGTCGGAAGCTAATCTCCATACAGCTTTAAACTGACCGGCACCAACATTTTCAAGAAGTGACACAAGCCAAACTGGTAAGACATTTTAATATATCTGAATCCTTCCATACAAATAAAAAATCAGGTTAAGAAAAATGAAAATATAGAACAGCGTGTTTGTATTTTATATACATAGAAAAAAACATGGAAAAAACTGACTTGCACATTTTAACATGGAAAGGTTTCACCAGAATATAAACTCAGTCCCAGATCAGGCTTGATCAGCTGTTCTCAATGGAAGCAGAGCTGAGGAGCAGAGATCCACTGTGTGAGAGGAGCCAGTGAAGCTCTTCACTGCACAGAGGGCAAGATGGTCCTCCAGTCTAATGGAAGACTCATCCTAGTGGAAGATTCCATTAAAAAAAGTTATTGTTTCGCTAAAAGGTCATTATCTCCTGTGCAGCACCTGTGTCTGCCATAAGATATTATCATGGATGGAATTTAATTTCACTGCTTGTGTCTGAGACATACATGCAATTTAAAAAATCAAAATAAGAAAATCCAGAGAAGTAGCTTACACTGCATTTAATTCTTAACGCTTATGTGAAACTGACATAAAGAAGGTTTTGGCTTTAACAGAGTTTCCCTTTTACACTAATGGAAGACGAGTTCAGTTAAAACATCACAAATACATCTCTGCTTATTGAACATTATATACAAAACAACCTGAAACAGTTAAAAATCAAGGAACACCAGTGTAAACACACCTCAGGGATTTATAAAACCTCACAGTATTGCACATAGATTTTATACTTAATTATATATAGCGTCCCCTGTGAGTTTGCAGTCATGGAAGGACTGGACAGCAACTTTGGGGCGATTCCAGATCAAACCTCAAATCAGTTTATGCTGTGAGTACAAACAATCACATACAGTAGACATTTAAAGTACTCTGGACAGAGCAAATCCCAGAGACAAGGTTTAAAATGTTAATCTATGTCCTCATTCTGAATTGCATGTTTTCCTTAGTTATATTCCAAGGTTTAAATAATCTAAACTGTTGGTTAATAATATAGAACAATACTGGCTGTTTTTAACATATCAAAGCACTATGAACGTTGAAAGCAAATTCCTTTGAAGGGAGTGAAAATGTTTCAAAGAGTTTCTGTAACATGAGAAATATAAAAATGTTAGTTTGGCTTTCTGGTCATACGCAATATTACTATCAGGATACTTTGAGCACTATGCCCCCTGCTGTCCAGTGAGCGGAACAGATTTAATTTTTTGGAAAGTCCTTCTAGATATACATTCATGCATGGAAACTTCCTCGGGATACAGTTTGCATAGAATAATTTGTCATTTATGATTTAATCTAGAAAGTCTGACTCATAAAAGAATCCGAAATCAGAACGTAGACAAAAACGGACTGATTTGTTGTGCCTCTGATTCAGTTTAGTCCTCATGGCACCCGCATTTCTATTATGTTACAAAAAACAAGCGAATGATCTGATAACCAGCCTTGTATAACAACAAAGGGTGCAGACAAAGTTCACTCAGCATGGGGTCTCTATCTTCTGCTGCCGGATGTTAATGGAAGCTGAGCCGGACTTTTCCACGGGAGATCATCGGAGTCCGGACTGGCTGGGAAAACGGGAGAGGTAGAGTGGACCAGTTGTGCTCGGTACAGTATCAGGATCGTTTTCTAAAGCGCTGACTGGAGGGACAGCACTCTCCTGTTCCACTGCAGTTTGAAACTGGAGCTGATAACCCGAACGGTGCTGAAAGGCAGCAGTCGCACTGCAAAGCGTCTTCCGAAGCCGCAGTGACCCCTGCGATCTGGGAGGCCGCCTGCAGTGGTCACAGCGCAGGGGGCCGCCCAGCACAAACCGCCCCGTGCACCTCCAGGGGATCAAGGCACATTGAGGGTCAGCCTGATTTAAGTCCGCCTCACAAATACCTGTTTTATGGTGAGGATAGTTTTTTGGGGGGTGAGGAACTGGAACAAAGTTGTTTTTTTAATCTAGGATTTTCTGTGCGCCCCGCACCCTGTGCTCTGGTGACCTGTCACGCCTCGGACTTCTCCGACGTCAGCTGCTCCCGGTCCGACACGTCGTCCTTCGGAGGCCGGGCTCGGTCGAAGAAGCCACACTGCGAGGAGGAGAAAGCCATCGGATGATTGGTTAAAGTTTTAAAATTCTTTACAACGTTGTTCATTCCCTGCCTTGTGCCCGGAGTTTCCGGCACAGGCTCCAGCCCTCCATGACCCTGCATGGGACAAGCGAGAAGAGAAAATGGTGCAGCCTTGGTATAGATTTGTTACTCTAGGTACAAACAACAGTAATGTACTCCCAGTGGTGTAAAAATGTTCCTCAGATTCGATTTCTGGACCTTAAAAGGTACAATTACCTCCAGCTAAGAGCATAATTAGCAGACCCCTGAGGGTACAGCCCCTGTGACAAGTAATTACAGATTGGTACCTATTTTTCTGACAGTGTAGAGGGATGGACAGTATTGTGCATCCGTACTAGGATGGCTGGACCGGTCCAGGGATTCCTGCTCATCTGCCTGTCACCATGGTAACGGATGGCTCCACCCAGTGGAGGTGGTGGGGGCGGAGTGGCTCAGGTCCAGGAAGGTCACATAATCAGTGCCACTTGTCTCTTTAGGTGAACCTCCCCAGTTCGCTCACAGACAAAAGCGGTGGCTTGGGAGGGGCCTTTAAATCCAGCTAACATGAACGCTCTGGGTTCCCCACTAAGGTGGACGCTAAAAGCTGGTCTCTGGATGCGAAAACCAGCTCCCATGTGCACAAGAGCTCAGAAACAGATGAATGTACACATCCATCCATCTTTCAACTGCGTATTCACTACAGGGCTGGGGGGGGGGGTCTGGAGACACCAAGGGGAGGTTTTGAGATTTGAGTCACCAAGGCAACAGCACTAACCAGTAAGCATAAACTGGGAAGTTTAAATCCAAACAGCTGTAACACTCTTCAGGTACCAGAAACACAAAAACAGATGCCGTGTCATCAATTTTACTCAGTAAAAAGTACAACCAGACAGTGAGGTACCTAGAGAGTCCCCCCTGTCAAGGGCTGGACCCCCTGAAACTGTCAGAGTATCTATGCCCCTACAGCGCCCCCTGCAGCGCCCCCTGCAGCGCCCCCTGCAGCGCCCCCTGCAGCGCCCCCTGCAGCGCCCCCTGCAGCCTGGTGCTTTAAATGGGGTATATCTTCAGCTTTGTGAAATTCATGGGTATTAACCGATAATGAAGAGGGCTGCTTAACTCAGGGCTGCTCCTGGAGACCTCCTGTAGCATCAGGAGGTGCAAATGCAACAGACAATTAGGCCAGTTTTCAGGATGAGAAAAGCTTCTGAAAGAATTATGGGATTCCTCAGATAAGGAGCTCAAATTGTTTACATACATCACAGTCCTGCCGTTATGATAAATTGAGTGAATAAAGATAGATTGACGCGTCGTCCATGACATCCTTCTCCTTCCAAAGACAGCCTGTCTGCCAGTCAGAGGCGTGAGGTACCAGCACTGGGCAGAGTGGATGCTGCCTGCTCTGGGCAGACAGGAAATCCCAGCCCTAGTCTTACTGAGGCATGGCAGTGCAGCCCCAGATGCATAAACACAGATACCATCGACACAGGTCATTAAGACAGGGACTGCTGAATCATCTTAATTTCACCTCACAATGCTTTTCTTTGCTTGGGGGGGGGGCTCCACCAAAATCTCATTCATTTAAACAAATAAACACAGTTGCCAAAGCTGTCTGTCTGTCTTTCTATGATGCTTTGAAATTCAGCCAATAAAAAAAGAACATCACAGTTTTTACCCCCTTATAAACACAGTGTCTTTGAAGGTTCCGGAAAGCCTCGGGACAGGGATGGAGGATGTTACAGACCTTCCACATGACCAGGGTTAGGATGGCCAAGACCAGCAGTCCCAGCAGGACGGCCAGGATGATGACCCACAGCGGGATGGCGAAGGAGACGTCAGGGGTGGCCCACACCACGAAGGTGCCGATCTGGGAGGGGCACGAGGGATTGGTCAGCAACATCTCAGAGATCACCCAGACACACTGTAGCAAAGACAACTACAGTTTGCATCCACATCAGTTTGTGTTTAAAAACCATGAGTTTTTCAACCTGGGGTCTGTAACTGTGATCGGAGTCAGAAATATACAAATACGAAAGCTCCCCCCAGGCTTCTTAGATACTGATCTGATCACACATTTGAGGTGGGGGTCCATCACTGTAGTCTTTTTTCATTTTTGTGTCCCAGGTTGATGAAACCCTATTCTAGAAGGATCATAACATTTCTGCTATTCATCTAGATCAGCGGCGGCCAATCCTATCCGCCCCTGCATGCAGGTTTTTGGGGTAACCTTTAGGTCAGCTGATCAAAGTCAATCGGTCCGCTAATTAGTGATGTGATTAGGGAGTTGCAGTGAAAATCCGCAAACACAGCGGCCCTTTGTGGATAAGACTGCCCACCCCTGATCTAGATGTTCCCTCCATACAGTACTTACTCCGGGGACTTTTGCGGGGGGGGGACAGATTCCTTACCCCCGATCCACCACGTGACCCATAGGTACTATCTGCACGCAAAAACATATGCCCAGTAGGATCTGCTCATGGCCAGGAATAGCGCAGCCGAGATGGCGATCGTTCCTCCAGACGCTTGCGAACGTGGGGTGACCCCAAACCGGGGCAGGGTGGGCTTGTTTGAAGGATCCTGGTGTTTACGGCTGTTGTGGGATTTGGACGGGGCTTTTCCTGGTCCGGAGGCCCCGGGTCAGAGGATGCTAAAGTGCTACCGCTAAACGTTTCCCCACCAGTACCACGCAGGGTGTTCCACCAGCAATCCTCCTGAGGGGGGGTAGGGAAATCCGGACCCCCCGGCAGACAAACACAGGGCACTTACGGACTTGGCCTCTTGAGGGAGACTCCTCTGTTTGATTCGATAAGGCATGCTTGTTACTCTGAAATAGGCGGTGGAGTTGAGCAGATACGGGTCATTGTGCCTCTGAAAGAAAACAGTCATATTGACACGATTACAAAGAGCCCACATAGACAAGGCAAAGGTCACAATAAGCGTTAATGACCTCAGGCTGCTGCTGGGGGCAGAATGAGCATTAAATAAATGACAGCTGTCTGTGAACTTGGTGTGGAATCACAACTTCACTGCTGCTCGTCATTCATTCAGTCCCACACATTGTAACACTTTAAGGTGGAAATTCTTCTTTTTCAAAAAGAACTTCTTCTCTGAGGAGACCAAAGGGACTTCAGACGTACAGACAGACACAATATGAGAATCAGTCCCTGCACTGGATAAGCGCTTGGAAGACAGATGGACAGATGAGACTTTATTATAATGCAAATAATTTTTTCCCCCCAAAGTTTAAGTTTTGCAAAAAGGGACAACTTACACACAACGTGCAAATACGACATTGTGAACATCCCACTAAAGTACACAAGTACAAATTAAAGGGAGTAATCAAAATGGAATTCATGGAAAAATTGGCAAGTAACAAATGAAGTAAAATCCAACACATTGTATATGGGGGGGGGGGGGTTTCCGGGAAAAGAGTGAAAACGCCAAACTCAGTCAGAGGGATCCAGAGAGACCGCACTGCTGACGTCTGACGGGAACGGCCCCCACAACTTCATGAATTTATTACAGTTTCCAGACAAAGACAGCCTGATTTTCTGCAGAACATCACAAATCTAGGGGTGGGGGGTGGTGTGAGGGGTCCTGAATGTGTGATTTCCAAAACAACAGGAGACAAGACATGAAGAGGATTACGGAACTTGTCCTCCAATCCTGAAGCACGGAAATGGGGCTTCTTACCTGCAGGAAGGTTTGAGCCCAAAGCCGGGAGCGAACCTTGACCACGGCGCTCTGGCCGCGCTCCAGCCGGATCACGTGACACGTCACCACCAGACAGTGGACATTACTGCAGTTCTGGTCGAGGAGAATTTGTGTTTGTTAGCTTCATCTTCCACACAAGGCGCTGTCTGAGCGGTAGCTAGACTTTGCCCCCTTCCTCAGGAATTCGGGAATCATGAGAATATTTAGTGTTAAGCGTTCACATCTTTGCTGTGGATCAGGGCAGTTAAACGTCAAATTGACCACCAGTGCTACCCATGTGAAGACAAGACTCTTCAAACACACAATGTCTTATGTCTGTCTCGCATTTTTGGTTCAAAAATAAATCAGAGAAACCACTGCACTCTTCCTCATAAACTTGGTCTCTTCTGAAGAGATTTACCCACAATCCTTCAGACCAGAGATGGTAGGACCCAAAAGGGTCTATGACAATAAGGGAAACAATTTTCTGCCTCAGACCTATTGTTTGTGACAAGGCTGGACGCATCTGAGATGCAGTTTCCTTCCCAGGAAATTATTCATTTAAAAAATCACCTAAATAAATAGAGTAATACGAGTAACAGGGAAACACAGCAGGACACTCCTCATGCTGGACAGTGTCATCCTGCATACTGACTTTGGCTAAATAAATAACAGCGCAAGTTTATTTTATTAACCTTCCCTTTAAGCACTGTACCTGGAAGCTGCCCCGTGTGGGACATGATTGCCGATGTGTATGAAACCGCGGAAATGACCTCTGACCTATCGGACGCTGAGGTGTGACGGGGGGGGGGTCTGCTTCTCGTCAGCGCCCAGCTGAGCCCCACGCCAAGCGTCCGGATGTGACATCAGAGGAAAGAGCCTTCGCATGCAACCCTGCCTGGATTCAGCTTCACCGGGGAGCCTGAGTTATTTACAGTGCGAGGAGGGGGGGGTCGACGAGGTCACTATAAACAGCAGTGACCTTTTAAACGCCAGTCTCCCCCCAGCTCTGCGATGTCATACAGGCCTGAGGGGCAGACTGCACCCCCCCCAACCCACTTCCCCTGCTTTGAGGGGGCCTGTGTGTGATTTGCGGCGAGAGGATGGGGAGCCGCTTGTCGGGCATTTTAACCAGATGCATGTTTAGAGGGAAAGGCGACCCTGTCACAGACGGAGACGCACAGAGCCCGCGTCCCCGTCAGCACGTCTCACGGCCCCAGTTTCCATGACGACGACAGAAAGGAAATCTTTAGTCCGCGGTTCAAACGTTGGTGTTAACACTAGTTTCTCAGCACTCGTGGCTCAGTCAGGGAGAGACGAACACGGCCCCCGTCCCTGTATCCCTGTGGGGGTTACGCAGCCGTGGCGCCACACAGTGGCCTGGTATGTAATGAGTATGTAATGAACAGAAAAGGTGGTGTGGGGGGGGGGGGGGTTAGGTACCAGCGTCTTCCCGCTGTAGGCCTCAGCCGTGCTGGCGGCCCGCCTTTTCCGGGAGTGGGGGGAGCTTGTGTTGCGGAGGAATCCCAGCAGCTCGGGGGTGTCCTGGAGCCTCGATGTCTGCACACATAGGGGGGTGTCATTAAGGCACATTCATCAAGTTTCACACACACACACACACACACACACACACACACACACAAGCAGCTGCCCAGTCGCACAATAATGGGACGCAGGCCCAAACACACAGAACACCGCGATGGTTCCGCTCAGTCTCCAAGCGCAAGCTGAGCAGGAAGCCGGACAGAACCGACAGCAGACCCAGAGCCCAGGAACGCTCATTATCCCCCGAACTGTCGGAACAGAGGTCCCGTTTGCTCCCGAGTGCGATTTCTTGAGTACCCCCCCCAGTGCTGATCTTTATCTTCCTTCTTTGGGGGGGGGGAGGGATATAACAAAGGAGTTACCTCTTTCTCCCAAAAACCCAGGTGGTCACAGTTCAGGGGCCACATCCTGCACTCCCGACTCGGTGGGGCATGAGAACAGGTGACCCATTGGAACCCCCCTCCCCATACATGCAGACATCCCTCCCCCAGAAAACCACACCGATGTCCAGGGTCACCCACAGGTCCCCGTAAAGCAGGCTGAATAAAAGTCCCCCCCAACACCGCCAGGCAAACCCGATACACGGGGGAGGGCTTTAATGGCCGGTGGCTGCAGACACGGGGCCACCTCTAAAGGGAGCCTGGGGCCCTCAGACCGGCCCTTTCCGGGCACGGCCGCCGCCGCGGGGCTCCTCTGCAGATTGTGTTTCTGCTCCTTCCCTTTGATCTCGTTAATGTGAGGTAGGCGGCTGCGAGGCGCATTTCCCATCAAAACCAGCGCTTGATCTGGCCTTCAAAGCCTTTCCAGGACCCCGAACCCAATCAGACTGAACGGCAAGACCTTCCACACTGAAAAAGGGCTACATCTGTCGCAGGTGTTCATTTGGGTGGGTGGGGGGGGGGAGTCCTACCTCTAGGTCCAGAGGGTTCAGCGAGCTGTTAGTCCTGCAGCTGAGCGGCCCCTCGGTCAGGACCTCCAGCGGATAGAGCAGCGGCTCGTCCTTGTAGCTGCTGGGCCAGCCCACCTGCAGCAGCGTGTCGCTCACGGCGCTGGGGCCCTGGTTATGGAGCTGAGGAGAGACACGCCGGGGGGGTCAGTGTGGAGAGACCAAGCCAGACCAAGTCACAGGCAGGACAGTTCACTGGTAAGTATCAACCACACTCAACTGGAGTAGGAGGAAAACCAGCAAGCCCAACCTGGCCTACACTAACAGTGATCCCTAGTCAGGGCTGTTTTCGGGGGGGGGGCTATGTTTTCCCAGGCCCTGAGTTGGACATTGGATGGGGGGTTGGCAAATGTAACCCCCCCACCACCCCGGATAGCAAGGGATCCCAAGGTGGAGTTTTCTCAGGGGCCCCAGAATTCCATGCTATACCCCTGCATCTACTCGTGTTCGAGTTTCATTCCAAACGGTTCCCCCAGTCTATCTTGGACAATAAATATTCACCAAATATAGGCAGTGCACATGTTATTTCTGCTCTCATATTTGGCAGCGCTGAGTGATTAACAGGAGAACACGACACACAAACCCTGGGCCGGAACATGCGTTAACCATGCAATACTCTGAGTGGCCTGATGGTGGCAACAGAACCAGCATTCAGAACAAAATATGTCACCATCACTTTCCTCAGTCCCAGGTCCCTGTTAACAAGACTAAATGACAAAACCACGGACTGGTAATCATTTCTGTATTTAGCAGATGCTTTTTTCCTAAGCAATGGGCAATTGAGGAAGCAGGGAGAGCCGGTCCCTGGGCCCACTGGGGTTTAAGAGCCTCGGGAGAGACGGTCCCTGGGCCCACTGGGGTTTAAGAGCCTCGGGAGAGCCGGTCCCTGGGCCCACTGGGGTTTAAGAGCCTCGGGAGAGCCGGTCCCTGGGCCCACTGGGGTTTAAGAGCCTCGGGAGAGACGGTCCCTGGGCCCACTGGGGTTTAAGAGCCTCGGGAGAGACGGTCCCTGGGCCCACTGGGGTTTAAGAGCCTCGGGTGAGACGGTCCCTGGGCCCACTGGGGTTTAAGAGCCTCGGGTGAGCCGGTCCCTGGGCCCACTGGGGTTTAAGAGCCTCTAGAGAGACGGTCCCTGGGCCCACTGGGGTTTAAGAGCTTCGGGAGAGCCGGTCCCTGGGCCCACTGGGGTTTAAGAGCCTTGCTCCCAGGTCCGACAGTGACATCACTTTACCGATGATGGGGTTCAAACTGACAGCCTTCCGATCACGAGCACGGCTGCCTAACCCGCTGAGCCCTGCCCTGCCTCCATAAGTCTATCACTACAGGATGCTAATTACATCCGGATACATTTACTTTAACGTGACGGAGAGAAACGTGTGGCGCACTGCCAGCCTCCCGGCTTCCGGCACAGTCACAGGGGACATTGATGCAGGTCACCCAGAGCACAGCATGTTAGCCCAGGTCTCCACCTTCCTGATAAGATTCTTAAAAATAATAAACATTCAAAATGGATGTTAACGTGAAACAGCTGCTACAAATCTGCAAAAATTACCAGAAATTTAAATGAAACAGCAGAGGTGTCGCCCTCGTGTGCTGCCCAGGTACGGTAACGTCAGGCTCAAATGCACCTCAGACAGCTGGACGAGACTCACCGAGAGGGTAAAAGTGTAACGCTAGGGTGAGAGAGGCTCGTCAGCGCCCCCTCCAGGCCACTGCTAGGTAGGGCCCCACTCGGCCCCTCTTTGTGAAGCTTTGTTGCAGCTGCCTTATTACCGGGTGGGGGCCGTCTGGCTTTGATCCCTCAGGACCGGATGGCCCACAAGGCTCTGTTTTTACTGAATAAGGATGTCGCTGTTTCAGTTTTACTGTCCCCACCCCCCACCCCCCCCTCAGCTGTCCCCCTCCCAGTTTCTGCCCTCTTATAGTGCTGGGAATCATTCCCACATGTGAGTTCTGCTATTTTCCAGCACCGACGGCCGTCATCCATCACTTAAGTGTGTTACACACCCCTCCTGCCCCCCCGCCACATCTCTGATCCGTCTCATCCTTAACGAGTTGACTTATGGGAGCTGGTGTGGCTCCCCCACGTGGCCCACGGTGCGAGACTGCGTGTGCACAGCAGCAGGGTCACATGATCTCCCCGCCTAAACGAACCCCAGGTCCAAGACTGCACCCTGCGCCGTCTCCCAAGACCCCAGGCTCCGGTGCACTTAAATACCGCGGTACAGTCAGCCTGTGCTTCATTAGGGACAGAGAAGGAAGGCGAGGGGGGCTGGGGGTGTCGGAGGCGGGACTTAAAGGCAGCCGAGCCACTTGCTGTGAAGCCCCCGGTCTCTTTGAAGTGTAACTTGATGTTGGGGGGGGGG